CAATGGTGGACGGCATGGATGAAGTAGCGGCGCGAATGTCCTGATATTGTTCACAATAAGCCCGCACATTTTTGAACGTCGGATTGGATAGCTTCAGAAGTTCATTTTGTAAAACGGTATTGTTGATGCCAGCGATCAGCCGATCTTTCAGTTGCATGTCCAGTAAATCTCCAAAATCACACTTTGCTGCTTGAGTGAACAAATCCGGATGAATTCACGGATGCCCTGATTCGGATTGCGTACCATTGAATGAAATTTTGCTCGTTTTGAGGCTTCAAAGTTCGTTGGCTTCAGATGCTGAAGGAGGGAGGATTTTAAATCATCGTACGATACGGAAACAGGTGGAGAAGAATAAGCCAAGTTTTTGATTAACGTATAAGCATTTTTACCGGCAGCATTCAAAAAGTAAGCGGATTTCTTTTCCTCATCGGGTTTTGAACGGGTCAACCACGAAATCTCAAAACGTTCAAAATAATCCTCGATATCGCGTGCACTGCAGTTGAGATCAAGAAATTCTACGGGAGTAGAATTCATTGTTCAGTAGACCGGCCGCGACGCCAAATGTAGTATTTTGAATAGTATTCGAAATGGGATTCCAGAATTCGCGCAATACCAATCTCCGAAAAAGAACAACTTCGAATAGAATAGCACACGAACTTTATTCGAATCGTATACTATGCATATTGAATGCATTTAAAGTGTACACGGAATTTCGAGGTCAGTTTCACACATCACAGACGGTTGAAATATGTCGGTGCCATTCAAGTCGGCTAAAACCAGTACGGTATGTTGGACAACTGGATTAGGTTGACCAGCTCAGTTTCGTCTACTTTATTCATCTGTTTGCAACAGTACTTGAAAGATTAACACAGCATATCAGATGTGATATACCAGTATCGATTCGAATTGAAGACTACACCGAATATAGTTATTTTTATGTCACACCGTTTCGAATGATCTTCTATGATAGCCAAACACTAAACTATATATAATTGTCGGTTATTCTGCTTTACTGAGCCATCAAGGCATTAGTGAACAGTGCAATGAGATTGCTGGTTGGGAAGCTGACTTTGTAAGGTAGAATATTCTCTGAGAAATTAATTTATGTTGCTATTCTATACGTAACTCCCCCTCCCTTTCGTACTTCCTCCTCAAACCAGGCTACTATTTAGACCAAAAATCCGGTGAATGTCGTCAAGATCAGTGTGTGAGTAGACCCAACTACTGCTTTAACGGGGGCACCTGTGTGAACAGTCCGGAATCGGATACCAAACCCCGTTGCTTGTGTCCGGCCAATTACGGTGGAGCTCAGTGTGAAATTGAACATTTGAGTACCGCTCGTTCCACTCCGGCCACGCCCATCCCGACCACAAAATCGACCGAAAGGTACCGAGTTGGGGACGAGCAAACACAACCGACACACGCGGTTGTTGCTCGAGTCCCATCAGCCACAGAGAAAACAGTGCTCGATGATGCCAGTTCTCGTCACGTGAAAGCGACCGTCAGTCCCCCGGGTGGGCCGATGACCAAGGTGATTGTTGAACGGAATTCCAAGGTAAATGTTCCACGACCGGGAGTAGTGGGAAAAACCGGATCGGACGTCTATTATAAAGCAAGTACTGGAGAGGTCAGTTTGAACGTTTCGTCTGAATTGAACTGGCACACATCCAGAAGACTGATTGGTAGAGAGAGAGTTTTTAGGCTCACTACAGGAGAGCTTGAGCAGTGTTAGATACTCTATACACTATGTCATTATTAATGGAAGACTCGGTATATTGCTATTAAGTTGTCGATGATGCCCCATTCTCACAATATACTCGGTAAAGTTTATCGATTATATCTGCATTAGCATGTCATACTAGCAACTTCAGATTAAATACGATCTATGTGTGGAACTTGTTGGTTACTGGTATATTTTTTTGCGTACATATTAAATTGCGCGAAATGTTGTTAATTCAACCAAGTTCAACCTGCAAAAGATCGACAACTTGTCAAGCATATTGATCATGTTGATTTTTATGGAATTTCGTATCATTCATGGATGAAGTAACCTGGGTCTTACAGGGGAGAAGTAGTCCATTAGAACATTAAAGACTTCCCATTTCAGACCATACTGAGAAAGGCGGTTAATAATCACTCCTCGGTCGAGGGAACCAAAAGCGTTTGCATAATCCAGGAAAGTCCAATCAGCCATACTTGCACCTTTGTCTCAGATGTATACAATAGAGTGAACAATATGGGCAACAGCCTGTACTGTGGACCAATGATATTTATAGGCAAATGTTAAAGGACAATAAGAGCCACAACGGAGTATCATGCGGTGCAGAAAAGTATTTCCATTGGCGTTCAATGACACAGATGGACATGCGATTGGACGGTATTTTATCGGTTCTTTCTTTGAGATTGGTTTGATTCGGGTTGGTCTTCAACAATTAAGGATCGTTCACGTGCTGAACAATTCAGTAATATATGTTGGAAGCTGATCGGCGCAGGCTTTTAACAAATGAGGTGCTAATCGACCTGAGTGATGAGCTTTATTGGCATTGAATCCCCTCAAAACTTAGAGAACCTCGTTCAGAGAAACGAGTTGAGTTGGAAAAGGGTGTAGCAGGGAGCTTCGGGCAGGTACAGAAGCAAAGAAATGATTTAGTACCTCAATCCTGGGACAAGAAATTGTGCATAAACCACTGATTTTCCACAGCTTTCATTACCCAAAGCAGTCTCAATGTACATTCCGTTCAAGAGTCTTACTTCAGCTCTAATAAGAACAGACAGTTCTGTTTACACTGTTACGCCCGCCTACCGATCTCGTGAGTCGTCTCTTTAGCACAACGGAGACGCTTGAGGAGGACAGAGGAAAACTTACCAGTTTGAATATAAATAATTTTGACAGGGCAACAATGGTCATAGAAGAAATTAAAATAATCAGTAAGACGTTTGTAAGACGAGGAGCGCTGATTACTGGAAAACACGGAAAATTCTATAGAAGTCCCGGAGCCTCGACAAGTACTCAGGGGAACAAGTTATTTTCCGTACAGTACGAGAGGCGGGTCTGACATAAATCTAATGGTTAAGTTTAAATTATATCTCAGGGATAAAGAAGAATGGCACAGTGATCGGAAAATATCATCGGGGGCACGTTTAAGAGCACGAAATCTACTGGGACAATTTACATAAATGCTATCGAGATAAGTTCAGAAAAATTGGAGCAGTTAGGAAGGAAGTATCAAAGCAATTAAAGTTTTCAGCGTCAATGCAAAAAGACTGATCAACGCAATTAGCAAACTGTGTTATCATGGTATGTACAAGCAGTGTTACGTCAGGGGCAGGTGCCTTGGAGGTAGTATATATGTTCACGAACGAAATAAAGTGAAATCTGCTGAGAAAAAGGGGGTTGGCAGCCTATAAAAGTACAAGCAATTTCGTCAATCGAGAAGTAAAACACTGACTGAATGTTATTACATCAACTCCAGTTAACGAAAGTGACCACTCCGTCATCTCTGTTGCGGAGCTTCACAATTCAGGCGTTCCTGAGAACATTGAAGCCGCCCTGTGCAACGATTTTGTTCTCAATATC